CTAATAACAAAGAAGTAGAAAAACTCATGAGCTTAATCATATACACATCAAAACTCAAAACACGGGGTCATAAGACCCAGGATCGTAACAACCAGTTGATGATGTAAGAACTGTCAGTGAATTTCTCTGATAAAAAAAACTTTGTTTGTTTCAACTGCACCAGAAATCTTTTTCAATGACTGAAAATTAGACTTAAACAAAAAATCTGCAAATATAAAGAGAACTATATATTTGGAATAAATAGAGGAATAACTGTGGCCCAAGAGTGGAGCCCTGATGAACACCAAACTGTTACTGTGCTTTTACAGAAACGCAGCTCAACTCTATCACTGTTTCATTTTAGTGGTTAAGACTTGAGGCCTTCAGCTTTAAGGCACCCCAGCACTGCATCAAGATGAGCCGTAATAAATATGCAGTCACATATGACTCTATGAATCCATGACGCGAGAACATATTTAGGTAAAGTGAAAACATTTTCTTCATGGTTGTTTCCTGTAACAAACAGAATGAAAAGAATCACGAGCTGCTCTTCACTCTGCTGATTGCCGCGTTCGTCTGCCTGTAATTAGAGCTCTGATTACCCCGGCTTTCTGTCTCCATGGCAACTAATAGGCTTTTCTCCGATATGTCAGTCGGATAATCCAATGAAAACAAGCGAACAGTAATCCGACACTCAATCAGCCCACTAACAGAGTTATTATCTGTGCGCGTGTGTGCATTAGGAAACCCCCTCTGCTTGTGCTGGCTGCAGTCTTAATAAACACGCTGCTATAAACTCTGAACGTGTCGTCACATCACCTGTTGGTCAAACCGACGCCTCCTTCGTTGCTCTTGATCTCTGCTGTGCACGCCATCGATCCGTTATCGAACGCTACTGAGAAAACGCTCCTGAATGATCTCCTGCCAGGTGATTGCATTTGATCCTTGTTGCCTCCACATAAATGTCACAATCTCAACACACACACACACACACACACACACACACACACACCTATACTATATCAGCAGAAATTCTAGAA